CACAGGGGGACAGCTCAAGTGCGCCCGGGCTGTCCTGCTGCGGGCGTGCTCCAAGGCTTTGCTCCCCGTCTCCCTGCAGACCAGGGAGACGGGGAGCAGCTTTTCTCGCCCCGGAGGATGGGGGCGGCAGACCGCGGCGCATCTGGGCGTCCCGCTGCTCCCGTCCTCCAGGGCGAGAAAAGCCCCGTTCGTAACCGCGGATCCGACATAAGTCGGATCCGCGTAACTCGGGGACTGCTGCGGGCGTGCTCCAAGGCTTTGCTCCCCGTCTCCCTGCAGACCAGGGAGACGGGGAGCAGCTTTTCTCGCCCCGGAGGATGGGGGCGGCAGACCGCGGCGCATCTGGGCGTCCCGCTGCTCCCGTCCTCCAGGGCGAGAAAAGCCCCGTTCGTAACCGCGGATCCGACATAAGTCGGATCCGCGTAACTCGGGGACTGCCTGTACTCTAATCATAAGAGCCATGACCTTTTCCAATGAAAAACAAAAATATTTAAACCTTTCACCCAGCATATTCCAGTGTAAAAAATAGTGCATTCAACTGATTTAAGTGGCAGGATTGTTTATGCAAAATGTGGTATCTGTAGGTAATCGTGAAGTATGGCTTTATTTGAATAAACAAATCCACAAACAAACTCTTCAAAATATATAACATATTATTAACAATGCTAGGTAAGGACTTTTATAAAAAGTATATGTAGTGGTTGTGATTACTCCTTGATTTTAATTAATAGCATTTATAAAGAGTATGGGGATCATTTATGAAAAAAGGTACTGTACCTAATGCAATATTTTTATTTATTATAAATTCTATTTAATATCTGAGGTAAATGAAATAATAGCTACCAAATAAAAAGGGAAATAGGAAATATATTTTTGGGCTCTTCAAAGACATTTCAAAGAAAGGAAAGAAAAAATGGTGAGACATTTATTTTATTTTCTTCTAGTCAGATTTCATTTTCCAATAAACAAATTAGGAGAATGACTAAGCTCAGAAACTCTTCAACTCTTCAAAACTGATAATCAAATTAATCTGTGAATTTATTTATAAGCACATGAGGTTCTTTCTGATACTTCCCAGCTTTTGAAACTTTTGACAATGTAGTTCACATGAGAAGCATAAGACTCAATCCTGGCACTGAATCTAGTCAGGGGAGGAAAGGAACCAGAGGAACACAGAAGACATCTATCCTATAGAAACTAATTTAATCATATCCTTCAAGTCTGGGAGACTGAATCAAATCACACACAGACTTTTAATGTCAACGAGCTACTAGCTATTTGCCCTACTGAATTGCAAGGAAACATTAATGATGATAACACTTTATTAATGCCATTAGCTTAACACCTTTTAAAAAAATCTTTAAGGTCAATAAGAATTACTGCCTGAATTGCTTGGAGGCAAATTAGATTGAAATAGTTTTCTGTGATTTATGTGTTTTTCATTAGATTTCAATCTTCTCTAAAATCTGTACAGAAGTAAAAGCTGCCCATGATCATTTATTACAATGATGAAATGTGAGACACAAAAAAGAAAAGCCATTGTCCTCTGCATTCACTGAGATACTGTACCACTGAACCTAGGGAGTATAAGCAGTATTAGTACCCATATCAGTTTGAGAAAATAATCTAATATATGGGACCTAGCTGTGCCTCTTTCTCCACCTAATCTTCGTGGAGTGGGTGGAAAGAGACTCACAGGTAGGTCTCATGTATTACATTACTTCCTAGAACTGTGGTGTTTGTTTAATGCAAGCTAATTTTCTGTAGTCACTTCCAGAAGTACCATTTTCTGGAAGCCAATCTAAGCTTGGGAGATGACTCCTGCCCCTGAGGTTATGAGATGTTTTCCTGAATGAACGTCCTGTGTTACTACAGGCCAGGAAAACAAATCAGGAGACAGATATAAAAAAATCATGGTGCTGATATGAAAATCATGAGCTTTATTTAATTCCCATGACTTGGAGAGGAGTGGTCTGTTTTCTAATTTTATAACTCAGGGAAATGTGCACCCTTTCTGTCTGCCTCTGGTACATGTATGTTTCATGCTAAAGCTCACATATACTTACATATAAGTCCCTTTCACTCCCTTATAGCTCACTGCAGTAAAACTCTTCATGTATTTTTTCTCTGTTTTCCTGTCACTGAAGGTACGTCTACACAGCAGCATTATTTCAGAATAATTGATGTTATTCTGAAATAACACTGTGCGCTTCCTGGCTAAAAGCCATTATTTTGAAATAATGTCGAGCTGGAAGACTTCTTACTTCAACTCCTGTAACCTTCATTTTATGAGGAATAAAGGAAGTTGAAGGAAGAATGTTCTTCCTTCAACTTCCTGCTGTGTCGACAGTGCCAAATGCCGAGTTAAGCTATTTCGACTTAAGTGATGCAATTGATGTAGCTGAAGTTTGACTTCAGCCCTGCTGTATAGATGTACCCTGAAAGAACTGACAAAGGTGAAAAACTGGTAAATCTTTCACTTTAATTAATTTCAGGTTCTTTACCATCAATCAGTGAGAAACTTGATTTAAACTATCTAGAACTTTAAAAACTGCCACAGGCTATAAAACCCAGTCAGGTGCAAAGCCTAGTGATATTTGTCATTTTGATATAAAAAAATTATCAATTTGGATTCAGAAGGGTTTAAAGACATTATTCTGGTTTGTGTGTGCTTAAATTTCACTTTAATGAAGTTCTACCTTACAAAGTGGATAATGACACTGTAAACTTTTATAGGCATTTATTTCCATGGCAAATTTACTCAGTTTTTAAGTTAATTTTAATCCTCAGTAATATGACCCCAAAAACTCACCCTGGGATGTGGCAGTCATGCAGGTCTCTTTCTAACTTCAGGATCTGCACACACAATAAAAATTCTACCAGACAAATTAAACACTGGGATAGCCGTACTCTGTGTTTAAGAGAGGTACCACTAGTATTACTGTATAATTTGGCCTGCAAAAATTGTGTTATAAGAGATGGAAGAAACCAGCCTGATCATTAGAACCCAGGGGGAGTTTGTTGGGCTACAAATCTATCTCTGTGGCTACGTCTAGATGACTTGCAAGTAGGAATAAGAGATCCTCCAGAAAAGGGCTTTATTCCGGAGGATCGCGCCAGTCTAGACGCTCTTTTCCGGCTTTTCCCCAAGCCGGATAAAAAGCGGCGGCCATGTTTATTTAAATCCCGCGGGGGATATTTAAATCCCCCGTGGATTTCCCTATTCTGACTTGCCTGCTTTGCATGCCTCTTCCGGAGAAGGGGCCAGTCTAGATGTAGCCTGTCTGTCTTTCTGTCCATCTATCCATGAATTAGTTTTTAGTCAAGAACTCCTACATGGTAAAAGCTAGGACCACCTAATTTGGTATGCAGCTTCCTTTTATCATAACTTAAAGCAAGGTCAGAGTTTGGTTGTGCCAGGAAAAATGGGATGTGCCAAAGACTGCTGGCCAGGAGGCTAGGAAGTGCAGCCCCAGACTCACAGGAAGAACTGCCGATCCGTTCCCCCGCCTCCCGTCCCCTCCAGGAGGAGCTGCCAGCATAGTGCTACCCCAGCCCCCCAGAAGGAACCACTGCTGCAGCAATGCCACCCTTGCTGCCAAGGGTGGCCCTGGTAAGCTTCTCCCAACCTCTCAGCCCCCTTCCCTGATTACTGCATACCCCCCTCCCTACCCCTGAGCTGCCCCCAAATCTTCCATTCCCTGCCCTGAACCCCCCACTCCTGTCCTGATTCCTGCACCCCTGCCCTAAGCTCCCCTATCTCCCAGCCCACTACTCTGATTCCTGCATTCCATACACCCCTGCCCTAAGACCCCCAATATCTATACTGAATCCTGCACCTCCCATCCCCTGCCCTGATTCCCACCTCCATCCTCTTATACTGAGCCCCCACACCTTCCACTCCCTACCGAGTCACCTGCCCTGAGTCCTGCACCTCCTGCCCTGAGTCATGCCACACACTTTTCAGACCCCTGCCCTGACTGCTGTACCCCCACCTCCTAACCTGAGCCCCTACAAGAACTCGGGCGGGGTAAATCTTCTAGTTAGAAATAAATCAAAATATGAAAATTATTGACACAACTATCAATAAGGATACTCAAAATGCCCTTATTACTTAGAAATATGTATTTGAATAATGACTGTAAAAGCAGCATTGTGGATTCTATGTTTGTGTCTCATTGATTCTGTATCAGCTTGGCACAATTTTCAAGTAAAATTGTCTTTTCTTCACTTCCCCTTGCTCCCTACTTGGCCCTGCAAATTCAACATGGGAAGTAAAAATCAAGATTTGTGTGTGTGTGTTTGTGCTTCATTTCAGTAATAAATCAGTCTGCAGATTACATTTTGCCCTCGATGATATTTCTGTAACCACACAGAAAATAACATAATTTGACTTGCAAAATCTTTGTTATCTAGGATAGTGTGTGTGACAGAAAAAACCTATTTTCAGTGGATTGAGTTTTCAGGGCTTGCAGATAGAAATTGTAATTTGAGTATGTGATCAGCAAGTCACTGCTGTGGATTAGAGATAAAAAAAAATTCCTGAAAACTAAGGGTGGGAGGATAGATGGGTGGGATATAGTAAATGTTTTGGTAGAGTTTTTGTTTTACTCTTTACTTCTCTCTCTGTCTCTCTCCCTAACACAATCCCTTTCTATGTGTTTTCCAATCTTTCCCACTGTCTCCTTTATTTTTCACAGTTTTATATTAGATTTTTTTTCTGGTGTCTTTTGTCTAAGCAGAATGTGAATCTCTAATACTGCTTAAGTCTGAGCTGAACTTTCAAACCCATGATGTTCATGAGGTTTAGAGTACATGGACTCTCCCTTTCTTAGAGATAGCCTGGGATTTTTATCTTCCCGAGTCCCAAATCCACAGTTGTTTTAGACTGCAGGAAGTTACAGTGCCAGAATATAATATGACAGTGTGACACAAAGGAAAATCTTTGGATCACTCCATATTACCTGGATATGAATTTTACTATATATATATAAAATTTTTGCAAAAGATAAAATAAAAAAATAGTTGCACTAGAGACTTAATATACTAAGTGACACTATCATTAGTAAGTATGACAAGAAGCTTCTCTGGGCTTCCCAACCAACTAACTTAAGCTACAGCCAACCCTAATGCGGCATTAACATTTTGTATATCTGAAATTAAACTGTGTTTTGTACACAGACTAGAGACCTGACAACAGTAATAATAGTTATTACTTTACAATATATAAAGGCAGAGAGTTATATAAACCTTTATGCAAAGGGAAAAAAAGAAACAACATGTTCCCCTCCTTTCCATGTTAGATCCATTACCTACATAAAGAGGGAGAGGAGATTGTATACCCTGTTCATACATATGCCTTCATACATAGATCTCTTCCTTCATCTGTAGAAGCTGCTCAACCATCTCTCCAGCAGCGTCCCTCACCTCTCTGGCAATCCTCAGTGGCCCTTCTGCTGGTCTAGGAGTCTGCGAATTGGAGAAAAAAGTAAACATGCTCCCTAGAAAAAAAGGGATGGGAAGGGACACATCATCCTCTCAGACCAGGGAGACGGGGAGCAAAGCCTTGGAGCACGCCCACAGTGGGACAGCCCGGGCGCGCTTGAGCTGTCCCCCTGCGGGCATGCTCCGCGGCTTTGCTCCTCGTCTCCCTGCAGACCAGGGAGATGGGGGGGGAGCAAATCCTTGGAGCACGCCTGCAGTGGGACAGCCGCGGCACGCCTGGGCCGTCCCGCTGCGGGCGGGGCGCCACC